TGGACATACCTCAAGGGGTTCCCTGATTGGAGAGGGTGCAGGCTGGGCTGAGGAACAACCCCCCGCCCCCCATGCACAAATTTCGTGCACCAAGCCTTTTTATATGCTTGTTGGTCACCTGACTACTGCCTTTGGAGAAATGTCTATTCCAGTCCTTTTTACTTTTATTTTTCAAAAGCTTTTTAAAATATGTTTTTTATTCATTTCAGAGTGAGGAAGGGAGAGGAAGAGAGAGATAGAAACATCAACGATGAAGGAGAATCACTGATCAGCTGCCTTCTGCACACCTGACACTGGGGATCAAGCCTGCAACCTGTGCATGTGCCCTGATCGGGAATCGAACCATGACCTCCTGGTTCATGAGTCAAAGCTCAACCATTGAGTCACACAGGCAGGGCTATTCAAGCCTTGTTTATGAATGAGCTATTAAATTTTAATTTTTTAAAATATTTTTATTGATTTCAGAGAGGAAGAATGAGGGAGAGAGAGAAAGAAACATCAATGATGAGAGAGAATCATTGATTGGCTGCCTCCTACACTCCCGCCAGTGGGGATTGAGCCTGCAACTTGGGCATGTGCCCTTAACTGGAATCGAACCTGGGACCCTTCAGTCCGCAGGCCGACACTCTATCCACCCTGAGCTAAACCAGGTAGGGCAGCTATTTGATTTTTTTTTTTTTGCTTGTGTGTTTTGTTTTTTTTAAAATATATTTTATTGCGTTTTTACAGAGGAAAGGAGATAGTTAGAAACAGCGATGAGAGAGAAACATCGACCAGCTGCCTCCTGCACACTCCCCACTGGGGATGTGCCCGCAACCAAGGTACATGCCCCTGACCGGAATCGAACCTGGGACCCTTCAGTCCGTAGGCCAACGCTCCATCCACTGAGCCAAACTGGCTTCGGCGCTATTTGATTTTTTAATGGTTGAGTTTAGTCTCACCTTTGACTTCAGATCAGTTCTCTTTTGGCAGTGCTCTAGTTCACTGAGTTTTCCTTTGTCTCTAGCATTTAATTAATGCACCCAAACTAACCAAAGTCCTCGGCCTCACCTGGAATACTTATTCACTTTAGGCCTAGCCACAGGAGCAAGAGCAGAGAACTGTGGAAGGCTGCTCTTGGCAGTGAAGGTGGAAACTTAACATCACTTCCTGACCATGTTGGCTGCTCCTAAGTGACAGCTTTAGGGTGACTTATTGAGAAAGTGAATAAAGAAAAAGAGGGAAACAATGACTGCATGAATTATAATAAAAATTAGGGTACTGGCTTGAAAAACATGGCAGGTAGTAGGGACGGTTTAAATGCACCATCATTAGTAAGTAGGTTATGGTAGCTAGCTCTATGATGCTGCACTAAACTACATACACACAGGCATATGGTTCAGGGGAAACTCTCTTCGGAATTTTCTACTTATTTAGCTCCATGTGACTAGTTAAAAAATTCAAATTCTAAATAACTGCCCATTATATATTTCTACCGGGGAGAAATGATTTTGATGATAAACATTTTTTAAATTTAATTTTTTAAAATATATTTTATTGATTTTTTACAGAGAGGAAGGGAGAGAGATAGAGAGTCAGAAACATCGATGAGAGAGAAACATCGATCAGCTGCCTCCTGCACATCTCCTACTGGGGATGTGCCTGCAACCCAGGTACATGCCCTTGACCGGAATCGAACCTGGGACCCTTCAGTCCGCAGGCTGATGCTCTATCCACTGAGCCAAACTGGTCTTGGCTTTAATTTTTAATTTGTTTATTGATTTCAGAGAGGAAGCGAGAGGGATAGAAATAGAAACATCAATGATGAGAGAGAACCATCAATCGGCTGCCTCCCACACATCCCTTAGTGGGAATTGAACCTGCAACCCAGGCATGTGCCCTTGACTGGAATCGAACCCACGATCCTTCAGTCCACAGGCCAACACTTTATCCACTGAGCCAAACCAGCTAGGGCTGATGATAAATTTTTAAAATGACTTTTTCTGTTATATTATACTAGAGGCCCGGTGCACAAAAATTTGTGCACTGGGGGTGGGGGGTCCCCTCAGCCCGGCCTGTGCTCTCTCGCAGTCTGGGACCCCTCGGTAGATAATGACCTGCTGGCTTAGGCCCACTCCCGGGTGGCAGAGGGCAGGCCCAATCCCTAGGTGCAGCCCCTGATCGGGCTCAGAGCAGGGCCGATTGGGATGTTGGGGCGCTGCCCCCTGTAATGCACAGAGCAGGGCAGATCGGGAGGTTGTGATGCCACCCTCAAGCACGCTCAGGGTAGGGCCAATTGGGGGGGGGGCACCACCCCCTGTCACA